CCGCCGAGTCGGGACTGCCAGTCCTGCCTCTTCCCCTGGGGGTGTAGGGAGGCTTTGCCAGCTGGCATTTGCAAAGTACATAAAAACACCCCGCGCTCTGCCTATTTTAAATACCGCGAAATCAGGGAAGAGCCATTCATTTTTCAGAGCGCCGTTACAAAGCAGAGAATCAACGGCATTCAGGATTTCCTTTATTCAGTCGTTCCCGATGTATTTCGTGCATGGTATCAATCAGGTCGTTTCCACGGCCATTCATGCAGTCGGTCCTACCAGGGTTTCATCGTGGCGAAGAGGTGTCATTTGTATGCAGATTAGCACGAGGAGATGAGATAAAAGGCTTCCGTAGTTTTGCATCTGCACAGTAAAACTGTGGTTTTAAGACTACTTTAAATGTATTTCTGCCCTCTGAGATGTCTCATTCTTGTAAAGAATGAAGGGGTGGAATTTTTTTCCTCCGCAAGAGCGCAACCCAGCTCCACCAATTTTAATAGCGGTAGGATCAGGTCCAGGTTTTTAACCAATCTGTAATGTATTTTCATGCATTAGTGTTTTGTTTGTGTGCAAATTTTAATGAAGCCCTAGCAATACCAGCCCAGACTGTAAAAAAACATCAAGTCAAACCAAACCGACAACAAAACAGGTCAGGCCCAATCATTAGATGTGTTACTGTGCTAGCTGTTGACCACTGTTGGGGAACACGTGTTGCCAGCACTGTAATTTCGGGGGTCTCGCTGCTGCTTGCTGGAGAATCCAGCCGTAATGTCGCCTCATAGAGGACAGTCACAACCTGACTTCGGCGACAAAGACTCGGCCAGAGTCCTGGCTGGCTGCAGGGCACGGCCCCAGCACGCTTACCCCAACAGGGTCTTCCTGCGCTGAAGCCACCCAGAAGTCATCACCGCAGACCCGAAGCCACGCAGGGCTGCGTGGTTTCTGTCTCTTTTGTACCATGTGATTTCTACCTTAAATATTTTCTAAGCCTACGTTTGTTCCTTGCGTCCTGTCCTACGCTGTTGTGGAGCATTTCTATACTGAATAGGCGACTACCATTTTTCTGGTTCAGAGAAAGCTTTATTTCTATGGAGTAAGCCTCTACTTAAAAGCTTAAAGAATCCTCGTGCACGTGAAATTTCTGTTGACTGAAATGAAATGACTTGTAGCCAAGCGATGGAGGACTCTTATCTTCCGAGAGGTTTTGAGTGGCCTCTTTTCCAGTATTTACTACAACACTGGGCTGCCAAACCCTGCATAGAGAATTAGATTCCCTACTGAAAAACTTCCCTGTCAACCAAATGGTCATTTACAAATGAATGGGCTGACACCAGACTGACGGGCACCTGCCCTGATAAAATCTTTGAAAAGCTGAGGCAGAACAAAACCTAGTAGATGTTGTAAGTGGTTTAAATTTTCCTTACAAAGCCAATTCTTTGTGGTTTTTAATTTTGAGGAAGTGACTTGCAGAGCTGGGGGCAGAAATGTTAATGGATATGTTCCTTGCTAGAGGAGACCTAGTAAAAGAAAATAGCCACAATTGTAAAGAATAATTGTTGGTAGTTTATTTACAACAAAATGCAAGGAAAAATACAATATTAAAAGTAATAAATAACTTGGAAAAATCAGAAACTAAGTGATATGAATGAGAAATATGACAATCAAATTCCTCTGCTGAACTTTGCATTATTTAACATGCAGAGCATTTCAAAACTTGGTCCTTCTTTGATGGTAGTGATGTATTGCCTAATGTAGCCATGATTGCTCTAAATAAAAAAAATGAATTACTGGACATTCAGAGTCACGTGGAATTATCACAGAAATGAAATAAAACAATGAAACCTGTTTTAGTGACACCACAAAACTACAGGAGATTGTAATTCAATGACCATGCTGTTCATTTAAAGCAAAACATTGTTAGACTTAGCAATTTTAACTTACACATATTAAACCAAGTCCAAACAATGAAAACAGAAAAGCTCCTATTGACAAGATCATGAATTCTCTCTTACTGCACTCACTAATTCATAAAAAGCATATACATTTGGCTTATTTCAAATGATAGCACATTGTTTTGAAGTTATAGTGCAGCAAGCTTCAAAGCAGTTTTAACAAAATGTAGCGGTCTTGTTACAAACTAAAATTCAAGGAACAAATACAAAATCTCTACAGCAGCAATTAATGCAAATTGGCTACTAGATGTCACAAAATCAAAAAGCCAAAGAATAATGTCAAATAGTTTCTTTCCATAAGATTTATCCAGTCATTTACCGAATTAACCATTACATTCATAAGAAATCCCATGAAGTATGTGTTTCAGGAATGTGCTGCTCCGCATAGTCTTTATGGACACCTCCCCTTTTTAATTGATTAGGAGATCTACCCTTCTAAAGACTGCAGTGAATTGCCAGTTATTTTGTAACGATTGTTCTATATGAAATACATAGAAGTATGAGCAAAGCTGGGAGGAGGTTTTAATAGAAACCCAAACAAACTAATCACGTTATTTGCTCTGAACTGTATTCTCCTTGATGAAAAATTCCTTGTCAAGTCCCAGCAGAGCTGTATCATGTAATTCTTCAGTCACTGTGGCAGAGAATAGGAACGCGGCTATTGTGCCTGTTCAGCTTTGCTGTGTAGCACCATGCTCTAAAGATGTACTCACTAAATAATCACATCGTTTATTTTTGCAAAAGAAGTGATGAACACCTGCAAAACGCTCTCTCTTTTTCTCCTAATAAACGTTTGAAAATACAACAGAAAGCACTGTGAAAAAATCAGTAATGAAAACAACCCCTTTGCCTCAAGATGTTCTACTGAAGTATTCAGACCTTCCTTTTCATTTAATCTTGTGTGGTTTTTTGTGTTTGCTGGGAATATTCTAGAAAAAGTTATCCTACCCGAAAAAACAAACAAACAAACCCCAACCAGACAGAAAAAGGCAAAGCAGAACACAGCAGAGGGTACTTACATAGGCAACAAAAAGCCTGGGGTATTTCTTATCCAAAGCAATGAAACATTACAGATCTCTTTATTTGCCTTCATTAGGAAGCAACGTGGAGGCAATGTGGCTGATCGTGATCCTTGTTGTGGCCAACGGTGAATTCAGGCTGTTTGGTCAATAAATCTGGTAATCGTCGAGAACAGCACTGCTCGGTGGAAGGGCTACGGCAGCAGCACGTGCAGACGGAGACACAGCATTAAGCAGTCTGCCATTCTTTCCATGACACGACCAGTGTCTTTCTCCTACATCTCTGTCATGCAGCTATTAAGATGTGTCCTATTCAGGTATGTCAATAATTTTCATACATGCCTCATCCCCAAACTTACTTAATATGATAATCAGTGTATCCACATGGGATTGGAAATCAGTCAGTTAAATATGAGTAAAGGTATGACTGCTTTGGTCTAATAATCTGTGTCAAACCCAGATGCCAAAACGTATATAAGTAATATGTAAGCACAAGGACATTATGACTAGAGCTGAGCAAATTCTTCTTTGACAAAGAAAAAATTAATTGAAAAATAGATTTTCAGGTGGAGCAGACCTAAACCATTTCTATATAGGTCAAATTCAGGAAATGAAAAAAACAACCAAACAATGCTTTATGTTTTCAAGGGTTTCCCTTCTCTGCCAATGTTCCAATCTTGCTTCTAAATAAGTAATAATAAAAAGATTAGACCAGTTATAATCATGAATACTTAATCTGCACACTTTTTAAGCTGAAATCATAAACTAATGTAGGAAAGTTTTGTTTGCATCATTACAGTGGCTTCTTTTTAAACAAAAAAATCATCACCCATTAGTATACTGATCACACAGAATTACTAGCTCTGAGAAGAAAAGCAAAGCAAAACATGGACAGTAAGTGGGAGAGTGCATGAAGGCAGACCACAGCTAACCTACAAAGAGCTCCCAGATTTTGCTAGCTACAGAATTTTAACTATCAAACAAATATACACTTGTTTTCAGCGCAGGTTGGCAGTGGAATTACCTCTCCTGCCACTAAAACTACCCTATAAATATCACACATTCAACATCGCTTCTGCTGGATCTAGAGCCATTGAGAAGGTCAGTGCATTTAAGCCAGTCAAATCACAGCATTGTGCTGAGAAGATGGCACAAACGTTCCATCCAGGTAAAAGGCCATCCCCAAACTGATTGTTCAACATTCAATGACAGTTCAGCTCTGGAGGACCCTCTTTTTTTTTTATCCACATACCATGTCACCAGTGGTACAAAATATCACCCCCTTTGATCATATGATTCAGGTAATAGCTATCATTCACTGGGAATTGAACAGCGTCTGCTACAGCTACCGACAGAGACAGACACTGACAGCATTCATTAAATAGCAGTTTGTATGAAAGAGAACAAAGTACCCCAAATGGGGGTCAGTGGGGAAAGTTTCTCACTGCACTTACATTTTGAAAAGGAAGGAAGAGACCACTTCTGCCATTTATTTTTCTCCTCCTTCCACAATCTACATTTCCCTACCAGGAAACATCCTTTTCTACATTTTAATTCCTGAGATTGACGAGTGATTTCACATGCAGACCAGGAGGAGCACTTCTGTTTCCTTAACGTCACCCTACACAGGACTGAGCAGCCCCACGATTCATTTGCTTTTTAAAGTGACTGATTTTGTTCACCCCTTCCCTAGACGATGGTAAAGCCCGGCAGCAGCTTTCTGTTAGCAGAGATCGTGCTGTTTGGGAAAGACGCGAGGCAGGAAAGAAAAAGGAGTCTCGTATTTCCTTTCCTTTACATTCAAGGTCTTACTTACACTCTTCTTCCAGTGAGGAAAAGACAGAATTCATTGGTTTTGCTTCTCAACTGGCTCAATTTAGCTGCTTTTTTTCAATCTTACACATGGAATACCATTGATGAACACCAATACAGACTTAAGAGATCACAAAAGGACAGGGGAGAGCTATTAAAATACATTATCTACAAGAAATAGGTGGTTTCTTTTACAAATTCTGTGCAAGATAGAAATAGTTCAATGGCCTCAAAGTCAGTATAATTAATTACAATTGGGGCTTCAATACAGTGATATTTTAGGTTTGAAAAGTTTTGCGTTTGTTAGCTAGGCCCCAAATCCTGAGTCATATTAAGCAAAATGTGAATCTGAGTGATTGCTGTTGGTGTTCAAGTACAATGAGTTACAGGTCAAAGGTTGATGAATACACAGGAGAAGCCTGAGAGTAGGAAGGATTTTAAAATCGGCTATAAAAGAAGAAAATGGGAGGGTTTTTTTCCTGTTAACCCTGCATTCTAGTTGGCACTAATTTGCCTCAGAAGTCCTTGGCAGCTTTACTAAATACCTACTCCTAATTATAAATGCTATGACCTAGATGAAGATTTGTAGGTAGAATACTGCTACAGAAAGATTTATTTTCTTTTACAGGGTTCCCCTCAGACTATTTCACTGTATGTCAGTAAGATGCACCATATGGCTTGAAACACTACTTTAGGAATATATAAACGACGTTCTCTTGCATGCACTTCTCTGAAGGTTTTAAGGATCAAGTCTGAGTAAAGAAGTAATCTTTCCACACCAGTAAGATTATTTTAAGCAAAAAAACAACCAACAAACCACCATGACCTTTGTAGAAATTGAGTTACATCACTCTTGCTGTGGTAGACATGGCTTATCAGGAGGAAACATGCTGGGTTAATTTAAAGGTTTTTTTTCACTGGATCTGGAAGAGTGAGAGTTTCTGGAGCAGACTTTTTCCGAGGTCGGTCTTTGGGAACTGTTAGGAATTCAGGAGCATCTGTGGAGAGAGGAGTTGATGGAGCACTAGATGGAGCACTGCGGGTTGAAGAAGGCATGGAAATGTTAGAGATAGATATTGCAGGTGGGAAAATCCCAATCTTCTTGTTGGTAGCTTCCTGAGTTGCTCGTTCAAACTCTCGGACTTCATCCATTGTCATGTCTTCAGCAAGAAGGAAAGAAAGATAAAGGCACGTTAGAATAATTTCAAATGATCATTTCATTAACTCAGTTAACTACTTCCATCCAAATTCTAAATCAGGGAATGACTGCTTATCATGCATATCATTAAGTGATTCTCCACATGAATGCCTTCCTATTGTAATGCATTGACTGGAGTACAATAAGCAGCAAACGTTAAGAAAATGAAGTTAAATACATTAATGACATACTAATGGTTCTTCTTCTACCTGGGTCTGAAGTGAATAAAGAGTGCTACCTCTGTAATTGTTGGAAGAATCGAGCTCTTTCACAGGCAATTAAAGAATACATTTAGATACACAGTTAGCAAGTAGAATTTTTCAGAACTCCAAACAAAATAAAACTAATAGGTTGCTGGGTTTTTTTCCGATCTAAATTATGAGCATGAACAAGTAAAGGGTTGTCATCGGTTTGTTTGTCTACTGTAATTACCAAGGGATGAAAAATTCTCTCTCCCCCCATGCACAGCTTCTACTGACTTCTAGTTGCAGCTGCATGCACGTAACTGAGGCCATTTTGCTTTTCTGCTAATAAAGCCTGAAGAATTCCCTCTCACTTGATAAAGCCACAACACGCCTTCCAACTTTTCCATCCAGAATCTGTACTTAAACATTTATGGCCAACTGACAAATCCACTGCTTAATTCCCTGCAAAATAGAGGCAAAATGAGATGTGGGGTTAAAGCCACTTTGCAATGGAAAACCGGGTCCACAGAAAGCTTTAAAAGCAATGAAAGTCTTCTCACGCAGGTGACAAACGTGTCACAGTGCTGTGGAAACCCACAAGAGGGCAGAGCGATCCCAGCATAGATGTGCTCTGAGCTGAGCCTTGCGAAACTTTTTTGGTGAAATCCCAGACGAACGACATCTGCTACAAACGGGTAAGTTGAGCAAAAAAAAGCAGCAAGACTCTTCTGAAACCTGCTGCTTCATGTTCACATTGCCTGCAAGATGTCCACTGAGCCAACGGAAATAAATTTTATGTTTTTTGCTGAACGTCGTGTTAAATTTGTAAATTTGAAATATTTCATTGAACCATTTTGTAGATTCTTTGAGCTCTGAAAGCTCAAAACCCCAGAAATAAAAACACTAGCATTTTAATAAATTTAAAATTCTCACAGATTTGGGTGTCTGAGACATGGGACTGGCAATAGTGCTTACCATATGTATGACAAAATCCTATACTTCCAGTACATCGGTACTTTTTAATATTACCCAGCTGCATGCATCTGCAGCCTTGGCTGCACATGTTATGTAGAAGCAGCTTTATGTTGTATTACATCATCATATTAAATAAACAAAAGCATGCATGTTGCCAGCTGCCTTCTCTCTTCCCGGCAGACGACATTCCAGGGACCTTTTCAGCTTACACTGCTGTGCCAGTTATTAGGAGTGAGGACTAAGCTATTTTCAACTCTGAGATAAGTGGTAGAAATAAACAGATGGTCTCAGAGGAACTGTACCTACTTGTGTTGGAGATAGATCTGAACTTGTTTTGCTGATTTACATTTTGTTTCACACCCTGTAACAGTGCGCGTAGTGTTTCTGAATTCAAATGGTTTAAAAGCACCCTGACATCAAAGGGAGCCCATGCATTCATTTCAGCTATTTTCGATTGAGGACTTCTGTACAACACGAAACAAAAGTTGTCTTGGATAAATGAAAGTGGAAGAGGACAGGAAGATTTCTCAATTTGCTGGCCATTTAAGTGAAGACTGATTAAAGTCTTACTAAGTGGTATCCTCCATGACTGTCCATTTTAATTTCAGACATGAAATCCTTACTGTCCCTTCAGCTGACTTTGGCTTTTTAGCTTACACTCCCTTTAAATTCAATTCTGTTCTGATACACGCTCAAGTAAAACCAGTCTTTATCCTGAGCTAAGAAGGCTCAGACTCTTTTTTTATCATTAATGACAAATTCTATTCTGACCTCAACGGCAATTTTCCACATGGGAACTACGGATGGCAGGCTGCATTCAAAGCCAAACCCTGAAGTGTAGAGCCAAAGTCAGAAGTGATTCTCAATTTACTGCTCAGCTAAGGAGTAACCTTGATGTCAATGGAGCTGCAGCGTTACGAACACAAGAATCACCTTCCTGGTTATTGCTTAGACAACATCTTCTCAGGCTGGTGACAATTTGCACTGCATAAGAACAAAGGAAAGTCTTCAAGCCCTTCAGGCCTTGCCCCGCTCCTTACGGGAGTAAAACCATCACCGAGTTCTACAGTGCAGTTAGTAGAAATAAAGGAATAATTAACACTTCAAAAGCAAATATCACTGCATCTTTTCTCTTTGCAGATAGTAGTAATTTCTAATTTTAGGCCTCTACTCGAGGTGCCCAAATTAGGAACTTAAATACTTCATGAAGTTTCCAGAATCTGAATCAAAGAACCTACACAGAAACCTGCCCTTCTCCACAAACTGCTGTTATATACTTCCGAAAATACTTCTCACCTTGTTGGTAGCTAATCAATGACAACATTAAAATTAGTTTCAAAAGAGTGAATAATTCATTAGCTTTTTTTTTTTCCTGGTGAAGCAAACAATTTTATCAGTCCCACAGAAATTTTCCACTCCCCACGTTCCTGGCTTTTTGACTGAAGCACTCTGAACTCTTGCATTTTTTAACTATTCAACTAATAGAAAGTAAAACTGATATTTAACTTCCTCTTCATGCATCCAACTGAAATTTGAGAATTGTGTTTTCCTGGAAGACAGGGAGCTGTATATGAGCCCAACCCCACCCTTTCTTACATCAGTGGCAGTTTACAGTGCAAGCAAAAGGCAGGATTGCACTTGATGGAGAAAGATTCTGTTCCTACTGAAGCAAAACCTCCCCAAAATTCCACTGACTGGTCAGCAAGATCAGTGCATTGCTCTTCTCTGATCTGGGCAGGCGTATTAGCTGAGGATGGGCAATATGTTTTTGAAAACGGACATACTCTTGCTTTGGCATGGCTCTCTATTTCATCCACAGTAGATGAATGTTGGTTGCAAACTTTAATGTTGGTTTTTTCATGCATATTTTTCTCGTATTCTCGAACATCATCCATAGTCATATCTGTAAAAAGTTCAAAATTGTTGGCATTTTCCATTGATTCAGTACAAACTTAATTTTTTTTTTTTAGGAGAAGGTTCTAGGAACACATAGTCTTTCAGCAGAAGCCAAAAAAGGATTTAAAAAAAAGCATGGAGCAACTAGCTTTATGGAAATTGACTCATAAAGGTAGTTATATCAGCCAAGGAAGGTGTAAGAAGGTTAAGTCAAAGGGAGTCAGAGAACAGGAAGGAGTGGAAATTGTTTAGGAGTATCTGTGTAACATAAGGTAGGCAAAAAGTATTGAAGTGCAGGCCTTGACAAAGGCCAAGATCTTCTAAAAAGATTTTAGAAGATCCCTTGGAATAAAGGATAGATACAGAAGTATTATAAATATTTACTTACCTTTCCAGGAACTTTCAAAAAGATTTTATGTTATCTTTGCATAGTACATCTCATAACCAGCAAACATTCTTACTGTTAGAGCACACATCAGCTTAGATTCCAGAAACTAACAATTATACTGGTAAGTGAATTAATAGTGAATACGTTAACAGTTTTGTCGCCTCAAGCAATTTAATGAATTGTAAGAATTAGAAATATTCCACAAGTCAGGCTGATTCTACCAGCAGGATCATTTATCACTGTCTAGGCATGCCTCATGTTGTCAAACTAGTGCATAATCTGTTAGGTGCTTGCTATGTAACTCAAAACCATTATTACAGATCTTAAAAAGATTTGTCATAAACCACACTTCCAGTAAAACCAGAAAGAATCCAGTTAATTGACTTGTGACCATACTCTTCTGAGTATTCTCATGCTTTCAATAAATCTACTTGTGAGTAAGGTGTAAGTGAACATGAAGGCTGTCAGAATTTTGGTCTGTTCTTTACGACGGTTTGATAACTTCAGAGCTTCATGAAAATAGCCATCAACTTTTTACTCACAAAACTTAAATAGCATTTTACTAGCACAGTATACTTGGAAGTGTGTACCACTTTTGGTAATGTACACTGTGTCTTTGTTCTTGAGGTTATCATTTTTCTCAGGTTTACTACGTGTCACTTGGATTTGCAAATTCTTATATCACACCACTCCTTGTTATGTGATATGAGGCTCTTGCTGCAGTTTACGAGACAGCTTTTAAGGAAAGAGATCACTTTAGCTGTTATATCAGTAGCACGATGTAATACCTCATCAGTGAAAATGAAATGCAGTCTAAAATTTTGATCAAAAGGAAACATGGAATACCACTAACTCATACTCTTTTAGCCTTTTCCTTTTACTGTTATGTGGAATGAAAAACAAGCTCATAAGCCATGTCAATAACATGCTAAGGATGCATTTTGCCAAGCAGAGAACATGCTCTTTATTAGTAAATAACGCTGTGAAAATAGATTTTCTTAATAATAAAGCTAAATACAGTTTAGTAAATTTAACGACAAGACACATTCATACTTACAGTATCAGTAACAGTAATCAATCAGTAACACCCATAATGTGTTGTTTAATAATTGATTTTATTACACTGATTACTTGATTCAGTTTAGCTGACTTACATCGTCTCCAAGTCTTTCTCAAACTTCTATTTTAAAAGGTGCTAATAGACACACTGAAGGCACACAGACACTTTAAAAAGTATATTTCTGAAAAACTCTCCCCACACACATAAACACGGCAAGAGCAGTACCACAACAGCTTTACAGATCATATGTATTAAATTGAACTGGAGAACCACGCCTAAGGGCTGCAGACAGCTCAGAGTTACCTAAACTAACTTTCTGCACTTTCTTTTTTTTTTTAATAAATCTTGCTATATACTTAGCCTTTATTCACGTCTATTTTAGTAGGCCCAGATTTTTTAGGTTTTATACTTAGCCTGACAATTAAGTTCTAAAGGTACGCTATATTATTTAGTAAAAAGACTCACTGTGACAGTAAAAATCCACAAGATATCATGTATCACAATATTTTATTTGTGGAAAGAGTACTTTTGACAGGGTGCTTTCAGAGTTAAGATGGGAAAATTTGTGGTTAAATGGTTTTTTTGGGCTAAACCTATTCCGTATGTTTTACTTCATGATTACTCACTTGTTATCATTATCAATAACTCTGCTAAAGTGCAGATGACTCTTTGCTTCCCAGTAACATTTCTTTATGTCTCACTTTAAGAGATATTTTGGTTAGATTTTGGGCAAATTTGTGGGCTCAATTTTTACATGAAGTCAGGCTTCTTTATTTAAAGTAATCCAGTTCCCTGACTTTGTACAGGGAAAATAACGGATCACTACATTTCAGGTAAAAAATAGGAAAAAAAAAAAATCTCTTAAGAACTCTTTCTCACTGGATACAAAATTCTCTTACTAGTTTATGGTCATCCCAAAATAAAGGATATTTTTAGTAGATTTCAGTATTTTTATGATCATTACAGCACAAGATTTTCATGCACTATTAAATGTATACGAACATTGTGATTTCAAAAGCAAATTTTTCTGTATTTTCAAAAAATCAGCACAAGTTTATGGTTAGATTCTAGTGTAAAATTATGCAGGTTTATGAGGTCACTGGAGATGTATGTGTTTGCACCAGCTGGGCTAATTGACTGTTTTTAAGCAACGCAGAATGTTTCTGAGTTTTGATGAAAGACAGGTGTCATTCTTATCCATGAAATGCCCAAAACGGCGTTTCCCGAAGCTTAAGGAGGGTTTAAATAAACATTCTAAATAGATTCCCAAATTGCTGCCATACGTTACAGAAACGTCTTAGAAACTGTTCTACAAGTATCTATGATTATGGATACATCTTACTGAAAATGCATGTAAAAAGCACAACCCCCGTGAGCTTATTTTATAAAATATAGTTGGCTGTTTTGATATTCAGGATTACTCTGTACTATTGAAAGTGCCCATTCCTACAGCTGCTTCATGGATTCCAAACAGTTTTTGCCTGCAGCTGCTGTTGAATCAGACCCAGCAGGTTTTACCTTTATATCCATTTTTCAGAAAGGACGTTAGAGCTCCATCTTTTCTTTACTGCAGTCCCCGTTAACAGTTTAAAACTTTCCTAAAAAGCTGAAATTGTGTTGGATCAGAGGCCCTCGGAGTTTGCAGTATGGAAATGACTGCATGTTAATGCAGTCTTAATAAGCAGCTTTATTCAAACCTGCATGCAGTTCTCCATATAGATGACTCTCGGCAGGGGCGGCTCCTATCTGCCTACCATGAAGGGTGACTGGACTGATGCATGTACTCTGAGATGTATGGGATGTAAAGGCGTCCCTGTATGCTGCCTACTGGCTGCCTAAAATACAGCCGACTCTTGTTACAAAGAACCTGCTGTAAACGAGCTCCGTATGTTCCAGAGAAACTGAACATAGTTCCATCTCTTTCGTGAACAACTTATACTAGGACCTGACGGTCCGTGAAAGCAAATGGAAATCTGTTGTTAATTGTCATAAGCTTTGCATGAGCCCTTTTAAATGGGCTAAATTTGGAGAATACTTACCGTACCACTCATCAACCCAGGCAAAAGCCTGCCGGTGACCAATCAATAGTATATCTCTGACCACCTGCGAAACAAGGAAAAGGTCAAATACCTCTGCAGCAACGAAACATTTTAGAAAAGTAACAGTAGTCTTTCAACATGATTTACAGTGAAAAATGTTCTGACAGTTTTGTCTCTAGAAAGACATGCCCCAGAGAGTCGGACATACTGGCTCTGAAGGTCTTGTAGTCCAACTGCCCACTTGAAGTGGACCTGTTGCCAACACTGGACCACATCAGCATGGCTTTGACTAGCATGGGAAGCCATTTGGGATGCGTACAGAACCCATTAATCTTTGGGAAATTAAGACGTTCTGGAACTCTTCTTTTTCCGTGTTAGTTTTTTAAACATGTGGAAGGTCGATAATCTGAAAAATATTATCATTTGGCTGTTATGCCATTCATTAATTAGTTTTTTAGTAGACTGATTGGAAAACTTTCCCACTACCTGTTTCTAAGAAATTCTGCACATCACTGCTACATGTATGGGACTCACGTATACTCATAAATACTTTAGCTCATATATTCATCACAGTACTGAAAACGTTATTGATAGTTTTTCTCAACCTTAGGCCTGAGCAGCTCCAGGCTTTGTCAAGTTTATACCCAGAGATGAACTCTCTGGCTGCGCTCCAGATCTTTCAGACCTTGAGAGAGGTCTGAAAGCAGATTCAGCTGAGCTCCCTAGCTTCTACACAGCCACAGTTCCCTTCCTGTGCAGGGTAGTACTCAAGTTCTGCTTATGTGAAGGATAAGAAGCAGCTCCTGTTTCACTGACCTTGTGTACAAACTGCTCTACTCTGGTTTGAAGTCCCCAGACTTCAAATTTCACAGTCACAAGTTTGTAGGAACACATAATTGGTTGATGGGTCTCTCTCCAGCCTTCTTTTAATTGGCCTCTCCCAGTCTTCTGTGACTTGAAATATTTAGGATCCTGCAAAATGAAGAAAACATGCTGAGAAATGCAGGAGAGTAAGTCCTGTTTGTCAGTTTGCTAAAGTAAATGTTCTGATAAGACATAAAATATGAAAACATGCTAATAAACATTACGAAAAAGTAACATGAAATTGACTTAAATAAGCACTAGGACATACTAAAATCAAATCCTGTCTCTTATCCAACAGCCAGTGAATCGATGGCAGCGTATTCTTGCACATGCTTTGACAATCATATCATCTAGGACATTTCCTGCTATAGGAAAATACCTTATTGCAAGTCGTTACAATACAATGCACTCCAAGTGTTATTTATAGCCTTTAGAAAAAACAAATGTTGCTTCTTCAGAGCTTGCTTTCCCCCTACTCCCTCGGTGTGATTTACTAGTACTTTCTACCCATGCCTGTCTTCCTGAAATCATGTCCAGTTTGAGCTTTGACACATCAACACTGATGTGACACTGACAACGCCGTCTTCAATTTTAAGTGGACTCGTATATCCAGGTGGGCAGCAAAGTACGAAACTCCTCCAATTTAGCCATCTCTGGTTACAACTGAGTTACGGTATCTTTGGGCAAAACGCTGAATGACTAATTTCAACGCTGTCTCTCTTTTACTAACTGGAAAAATCAAATAAATTGGTGTTGAAATTACAACAGCAAGACCAAAAAAACAGTAAGGACATTGGTTCATCTTTAAGGTTTACTTTTATCCATACAAGATATAGTTTTATCTATCAAAGTGTTATTTTCCATATTGGTATAATTCCATCTCACTTTCTGTCCAATCCTGCTAATTACATCTTGTAAATAGAAATAATTTATGGTTAAACCTTGATTTTCAAAACTTGAAAAAAAAATGTAGTTTCAGTAAATTCATAGTGGAGCTTCTAAAATCTGTCTTCAGGAATAACCCCTCGTGCTTATCTGCGTTGCCTTTCCCGAAGCTGAGATCTGGGAAGACCTTTTAAACCCATCCTTTGTTATAAAAGCAGTTAAACATGTATTTAAGTACGTGCTTAAATTACGTGCTAAACGGAAGACAATTAGAAGAAAAACTAGCAAATTGATAAGACTACTCTGATCTTAATTTTCTTTCATTCATTGTGAGCTTATAGATCATTCAGCGTTCCTTTTTCCTAATGTTTAGTTATCTCCTGACTTGGCTTCTGATTTTATCCATAAACTGAAGCTCTGTCATTAAAGCCTCTTTACAAAGCTCTAATGAGGCGACAGTCTTCCTTCTCTGTGAAAGTCATTGCTTTTATTGCTGACGTATTCTTTTCTAAATAGAAACTTTAAGCTCGCAGTATAATAAGGTTTCAGTGTTAAATCACCATAAAAAACAATGCAGCATCATCATGTATCAGAGCAGCATACCACTGTATATCACAACCCATAGTCACATGCTGTTGCCAATCTTCTCGCTCAATAAAGCTTGATCTCAGATTGATCTAGATATTTTCTGGTTGAAAGAGTTGTTTTATAACTGATTATTGCCTGAAGCAATCAATATAAAAATACTAATAAAAAGAAAAAAATAAAAAGGGAAGAACTAAGACATAATATTCAGAGAGGGAAAAAAGGAAAATCAACAGAAAACAGTTTAACATACAAAAGGGTCTGCTGTTTCCTACACGCACATACGGTGCTAGTGCGATGGAGCCGTTGCCTTGATTAAGCACTTCAGATACGCACTTTAATAATACTGAGTGTTATACTTTATATCCCTTCGGTGATAACCAGACCTATAATGGAATAACTTCAATGCAGTCCAAAGGGATTTAATGTAATGAATTGGAGTCAGTATCAAGTGTTCAGAATTTATAAATAAAAATTAAATAATGAACAGCTACCCTGCATGACTGCTCAGTCACGCATAAAACTTGTGTCTCGTTCAAACTCAAGAACCCTCTGGATGCTGTGAAAGCAATGTTTTCCTTTGTTTTGTTTTGTTTTTGTGAAGTTGACCCAGCAGACAAGGGCGTTCATAGTGGAAATCGTTCTTAAATCAGTGGCCCACAAATAATTCACCTACTGCAATGCAATTCATCCATAACATCACTCCTAGTTGCAAATTCCTTTAACAGCGCCCAGAGACGGCACCTTTGCTTCCCTCAAGCATGTCCATTTTTCTTGAAGGACATGATGTTTAGTCACAAATTGGCTGGACAGTTTCAAGCGAAGAGCCAGGCAATGATGGACAGTATGGGCGACTTACATCTAACAGCTTTTATGGGAATTCCTGCCTTTCTGAAAACATTAACATATTGATACTATAAAACTGTGGACTGATGAATGGAAGCCAGGAAACAGAAAGAATTCAGAGGAATAGATTTCCAGACTGCTGTATGAAGGATCAAGATGTTAAAGATTTTACTGAGTGCTTGCTCAGGTGAGCTAAAACTCAAAGATTGCGTATAAGCTGAGTAGTGGGACAAAAGATACACAGCAACATTAAGCGAAGTGAACTTGAGAGTTTAAGCTCTGGGCCATCAATTCAAAGGGCACGAGTGTTTTACAGAGGTGAGTCGTTATCATAAGTAAAACTAACATCACTGGGCTTTTTACCCGGATGCTAAAACATTAGGTGTTTAAAAAGGTCTTGGACTATTTTACGAAGACACAAATTCTGGCTCAGCAATTGTTTGTGCTACGGTTCAGACGAGGAAGTATTTAGGGGAAGAATCTCTATATTTATCTCTCTCTTTTGCATACATTTTCACCTTTCCTAGGCCTCTGCTATTGGCCATAGCCACAGGGAGCATACCATGCCAGAAGGACCTTTGGTGTGACCAGGACTGCTGATCTTTTGCTCTTCAATGTCTGATCCAAAGCCCACTGAAATCAATGAGATCTTTGACATGAAAGCCACAACCCAGAATGATTTTATGTGCCTAACTCACGGGCTTCAAATTGCCAGATTAAGATTCACAGCCTGGAATCCTTTCTGCAATCAGGCATACGAAGTCCTTCTAAAAAAAAAAAATGAAGCAGGGATGATAATTTTCTATTAAATGCAAGTAGAAGTAATATTGGCACACAGCACTGCTGCTCCTCCTGTCTTTCATGCTGTAGCTCACTGGTTAGGTTAGTCAGATAAAACAAATTAGACTCGTGCCATGCTCGCATCTCTCCAGGTCCCAGGAGGAAGCGCTGAGCACCTGCCTGTACTGGATCATGGCCGTTCTTTACTCTTCCTGCAAAAGGTATGGCAATTTGCAAAACATATACCAGAGGCACCAGGGTGGAGCGAAGAAGCATACTCTCTAGGCAGGAATTGTGGCACACATGAGTTTGAAACACTTCTGACAGTGACTGGAAACCGGGCGAGCTGATCTTTGGTCTGACCCCATTTTTATGTTATTATTTAGATCATTAATTTTGTGTGCACCTTATTTTTGCTTTTAGCCACCCATGCCTTCCTTTCTAGAGAGGCCATCATCCAAAGAATACTGCGTCTATTCACTGTTTCCCCCTTAATTTATCTACTGGCAAAATCCTCAATCTGTTTTAAATGTAATGGCGTAGCTAAAATCTTTTTGTTTAAATAACCTTCTCGTCCTTTTATCAGACACAATTTATTAGGAAAGCCCATCTGGCAAATCCTTTTGCTACAGAGGAGCAAAACCTACTCTGTATTTGCAATACATTATTGCCAGGTGCAGAGTGATTTAAAAATAGCACTTCTGCTAACATAGGAGAAACATCATTACCCATGAGCTGGGCTTATTTGAGAATAAAATGTAAAATTACAATAAAATAAAATAAAGTAAAAGCCACAGTGTGATGGACGTGCTTTCAAACATAGCACTCTCCCAGTGTTTCTTACTTAGGCCACGTCTGGCGGGTCCTGGCTCAACATGCTTATTGTTGGAGATTCCATTATTTAGCATTTAGCATTTATTTACTTAACCTTCCTCATGGACTGCAGACGTCATGGGCATCAGATGCAGAATTGTAACCCCCTTTCCAGGAGGCAAACACCAACATGTTGACAATATGGCACTGGGTTGTTGCAATGCCTTTTCAGATTTAATTCTGAAATGTAATTTTTTACTTAAAGTTAAATAATGAAATACATTCATCATTTACAGAAAACTTCCAGATCTGAATGGGCATCCTTTCCCTTGGCTCTGCCATGGTATCAGGCATGATGTGAAGATCCCATACTATTCGCAGCTGACACCACCACCTCCTTTGTCCGTATGCTGGAAGCCTGCATGGAACATCTTGTTAGCCTTGTCACTGATCTGTCTTGAAAATTACTTGCTGCTTTTAAGGCCATTTTAGCATGGAAAAAGATCCCCAGACTGAACATGTTCTCCAGAGGTGAAAGTGCATTGTATTACGCCATACATCCTATTCTCTTACTGGACGCTACTCAGATGTCCCAGAAACAAAGACTCTTCCTTCCTTTTAATGCACAGATTTGTTTCTTCAGACTTCTATTGCAATATATTCCACCACTGTGCTTTTGAAGTGCAGTCAATTTTTTTTTCCTTTTAAGCTGAAGACCATTTTGTTTGATCTTGAATTTCAGAACCAATCCTTCATGGTTTTAATACATGTGATCTGGCATTTCACCATCAGCTGTAGTTGCTAGGTTTTGGATTTCAGCTTACATAGCTAGGGCTCTGGAAAGATTTGTTGATGTAAAGATGCTACTACAGAGATTCATGCGGAGTCATTATTTAAAGGCTTTTTTTTCCTCTTTTTGAATTTCCATTAAAATGTATTTTCTGGAAGAGCCAGCTAAACACTTCAGAATTGTAAATATTGGGACAGTTCTGAGGTGTTAAAGTATGATAATCCAGCCAGCCTTTACGTAAGCTCCCAACTGAAGTTAGTGAGGAAAAGGGAATTCTCATCTGGTTTTGCTCTGCCCTGTACTGAACTACTGTACCAACACGTTGCACACATTCACTGTGGGGGCTGAGGCAGCTGTATTACTTCCACTACCACAGTTTTCTGGCTCTGTAATGTGGCAGAGGTTTTGTTATTCTGAAAGCACCTGGACAGTAGTAAGCTGGACCTATTACAGTGCAGCTGTGTTAAAGTCAAAAACGACAGCAATCGAAGAAGAACACTGCAGCAGCTGCATGAAATCTTTCTGTTTGGAGGTAACTTTAAAAATTTATTCCATTTGTCTGACTCTCAGCTGCTTTGTTATAAACAGGAAACGAAACACTTAATTTTGAGAACTTGAATACGGTAGCAAAGAACATTTTGCTCAGTAGCTCACGTCTACAGTAAATGTTTCATTTCAGTGAATGATTCACTCGAGGCCCTCACTCTTCAGCATAGCTCAGTTTTATTCTTTTCTGTAATTCAGATCAATATATGTGTCTATATGGGGAATACATGGTGGCTGGTGATACATATTCATTGATGGTAAAGTCACAAGGAAATGACTTTACAAAATGTACAACTACTCTTACCTGTAGGCTTGTACATTCTTTATAGAGAAATGCAAAATTCTGTATTCAGTGTAATAGATACATTCAGATTTGGAAACATATGCGACTCCTTACAGAAAAACAGGCAAACCTGTTAGTTTGGATCTAGATTTGGAACCTCACATTTAAACTTCTTAAAAGTTTAAGGATTTTTAGGTCCATGCTTGTGAAAAAAAGCTTTATTTAAGTTGTGGCAGCACTGCTAAGTACTCTGGCGGCTACTTCACAATGAAGTTTGTAGATGGCCATTAAGTTAAAATTAAAAGTCATCTGCTCTGGGATGCCCAGAATTGCTGCAGTTATACCTCCTCCAGCCTTCTACAAGGGCAACTCTTTTGACAGCAGAAATCGGTATACCTCCACAAAGACAGAACTGGACTCTGTGTATGTGTTTGTAATAGCTAACAAAACTGTCTTCCGATTCGCTATTTACTTGGTGATTTAAGTCCTTTTTGTGCATACACTGACAGATAAGCCCTCCATTCGTAAGGGAATTCAAATCACTTGGATGATTTTGGCCAAGAGATCACTCAGTATTATCGGCAGAGGTTCCCTTAAAGCGTTCCTCAATGAAGCAACAGCTCTCCTTAAGCCTCCAGCTAACTATATTTTTTACTTTTCAATTTTACTTAATATTTAGAGGGAGAGAAAAAGCAGATATGCACAAAGTTGAACTCAATCATTTTCCCTGCAACCGTCATGACATTTTCATGGAACGCTTGCCCTTTCTCATCAGTACCAGCACAAGTCGAAATGAGCTATGCAATTCAAATGGAGTGTTATACATATGAAGATGTTTTATACATTTTGTCTTTTTATGTGTGAATCATTATTATGTAAGTTACAATGGAAGGAAGAATATAGATCTGTTTATAAGATTCATGTCAGGGCAACTGAAAAATAATCTTTTAGATCATAGGCGCTAGGAAGCAGAGAACGGTTACTGCACTTGTTTGTACTGAGCCTGGTGCCACGGGTCCCTTGGATACCTCCTGACCCCTCCTGTGGTAACTGCAGTATTATTACCTCTATTGATGATATCGGTGCGATACTTACACAACCATATCTTCTGTCTACATAAATGACAAAAACAACACTAAAACTGCTATGGTTCATTCTGTTATAGTCGATGAGTTATTTGATGCGCTAACTCAGAGAAAGGTTGCAGTCAAATTGTAGAAAGGGGCTTTTCACACAGAGGACTCTGAAAAAGATAGGATGTTGACCCAAACAGCTCAGGATAACTGAGCACTTTGAAACTAAAAATAACTGAAATCACAAATACCAGCTTAATAGCAACTATGCAATTAGCGCTGTCTGATCACACCAGAAATCGCCCTCGACAAGCAGGCTCATAAGCACTAACAAAAAGCAAGCAGTGTAAGTAGTGTGTGAAAGGTTTAAATTATTTAAGCTGCTTCTCTAATACACAGTAATACAACCAAATAATGAAAATTGCAGTTAAAAACTGAAGTATATTTTTAATTGATGAGAGATGCGCTTTTGTCAGGATATAAAAGAAATTTAAAGCTCATTTCTAGAAGGCACTAAGTATGCCGAGCCTGATACAGAACTTGCTTAATTTTAAGCATGTGAAAGATCCCTCAAAATGAAGAGATTACTAACATGCCTGAAGTTAAAATCATCCAGATTGGTCTTTCTGGATGGGAGTCAGAACACTTACCCTGTGGGATCTAATTCTTAAATCCTGAGGATTGTACTTCAATTTTAATCTTTAAACTTAGTATCAATTCAGATTAAATACTCTAAAAGCAGCCAAACTGTTGTTATTAGTGTAACTAAACTACCTTTCGAAAGCTTACAGTAAATGGTTTTCAGTTATCTCTGAAACCGTTATTTGGAAAACACAGACCGTTTCTCATTTACATAGAGTTACTTTTTTCTGCTGCTCTGATTGAAAACAAACGGAAATTACATCTACAAACATTAAAAGTCTTTTTATAGCCCCTAAATTATGAAAGAGGCCTCATCAGAAATGGGAGTTTGGCTTCATATTAATCATATGGTAGCATAAAAAACCCCATAGTTTGTAAACTTTGGAAGATACTGAATTCAACTATTATTAATTCAATATCAATTACAGCATGTGCACAGTTAAATGCTAAGGTGTTCTTACTATTTTGTATGAATTCTGAAAGAGAATTTGGTAGCCAACATACAAATCATCCATCAGTACAGAAAAAACAACAGATGCTGGGCTATTTTTGTTGTTTAAAACCATTTAAAATTTTGCTTGGAATCAGGTCTCTAGATTTGTCTTTGAAATAACAACACAAAGATGCTGAAATTCTTTTCTCACTTAACATGAGGCTGTTTTTCTATTATCGTGAGATTAATCATATGGAAATTATGCTTAATAGTCGGCTATTAAAATGGAAATTACTTAATAGTCGGCTATTAAAAATGGGAAGGAAAGCTGAAAAGCTAGACGTTACCTTCATGTTTACAATTTCTGGAAGTGCACACACCAAGATGAAAAATCTTACATGATTTCTTTAAAACACAGTCAAATGCAGCAGTTCACTCCTAAATGGAACCAGAAGACCGTGGAGTTCAGATAAGATGATAGGACCAATAAGCTGTTTCATGAGGTGTTATGTAGTTTTTGGTACGTAACAGACGGGTTTCATTATGTAAGGAAACTAATAAAATTACTTTTCGTTCTACTGTAGACCCAATTTTGTTTTATGACCCATACATGAAATGTGAAATAGGATCTATAAATGGGAGATAACAAGTACCTGACTTTTTTAGTCTGAAACTCATGTCTCCTATGGTATAGAAATATATTCATTGGCAAGTCTTCATTTTCTATCCTAAAAATGATTATGTAGTCTCATTTTGTATAGTCAAACAGCTGCCACACTCATTGCCAGCTACGAATATATACTTGGCTCCAGAGGCAAATCGTATCTCCAAAATTAAATGCAAGCATAGATCTGATCATTCCTCTCTAGCTACTTCTTGTGAACCATCATTTTTCAAGTCTGAGGTTAAAACATTTGAGACCTCCTCTTCACTTGCATGGTGGCCGCTGATTTCAAAACAGTGAATTGCATTGACCTAAAAGAAACATGCTCTTCAGAGATGTGCGCTATCAAATATACATGGGAGCAATTTTCAAGATAATTTTAAGAGAGTGAATGTGTCTGCTGCCACCGATGCTCTTTGGCAGATTTACTGCAGCACGTAGTATGCTTCAGTCCCTCTCGGTCTTGTGTCATGGTCGCCTCCGAGCAACTGTGCATCAACCCTATTCTCACTCCAGCATATCTGTCCTTGGCCTGGGCTTAGACACTTCGCATGACTTATTAGTTGGGGTGGGATGCAAATAAGGACAACAGTAATGTTTAAAACTGCTCAGACCTGCAAACACTTAACTGAGCTTCACGATTCAAAGAAAAGTCCTTTTCTACTCTGAATGAATTCAGCTGAATATCAAAGGTCTGGTACAGGATATGTTCTGACAAGGGTATGAAAGCATTTCAAAAGGTTGGAGGAATCATCCGCAAAAGAAAGTGTCAGGCAATCTAGATCGAGAGGTTGCTATCAGCTTCTCCTCCAATCAAAAGCTTTTTAAATACTACCGACCAGCAAGTTTTCATACAAAAATAAAACCGTTTTGATTCTTATCAAGGCTTTCCTGCAGCCTCTTACATTCCCCTCTTCACCATTTCACAATCAAGTTGTCTCTTACCTCTGATTCTTTGTAATAGCGCTCAGGAATTTCATCGCTGGCAATATCAATAAAGCAAACTTCTCGCTCCAGATCTTTAGCTTCATTGTCAAAAATCTGCAAGAGTTAAAGAAATTCAAGACTGTAACAGAACAACACCTTTACAAAATCCACCTGGAATAACAGTGGAATAACTACGAGCCATTCTCAGTGACTTGAATAATGTATTTTAGGGTTGCGCCTGAACAGCTTCTGACGTAAGATACTGAAGTTTTTGCAGGGACACAGTCACATTCTCTCGTGTACTGCTTACATCAAAGGGAAGAAAATAGGTGTTCTCAGGATCACATATAGGCAAGGTGTTCCTAAGCAAGGTTAACACCAGTTTGAATGAATGACACCACAGACTTTTTGGGGAACAATCCACTACGTCAGATCAAGAGAGAGTGGACTGTTAAATGCAACACATCGTGTTCAGCACTTACTGCTCACACCCCTGGTCCTCCTTGCACTTTTTGGAACAGAGGCTTCGGTCACAAGTAGTAAAGTCAACAACTAGGATTGTTTTTACTGTGTTCCCTAATCTTTGAACTAGATTCCATCCTGTGTAAAAAACCTGACTTTCTGGACTCTGGTTGTTTCCAATCTTTTCAGTCCAGGGACAAGAGTGGAACGCAGGTGTGTCGCGTGAACCAGTCAGGCTAAGCTGCCGTCACACCGAGAATCACAACGTTGGTTGAACTGCCCTCAGTGGAAGCTGGCAACTTCCGCTATCCATTTGTGCGCACATAAAGCTTATTTTCATTTTAATCCTTTAGGACCCGGTTTTGAGCACCAAGTCTCTTGTTCCACGCAAGGGAAATGATGGGTATATTTTGAAAATGCCCGTAGTATACTTCTGTGCCTGTGTCCATAATTTAATTATTTAGGCATCTTAGTGACCCATGTGATTTACGCTATGTCTGCAATAAATTTCTACTCATGATTCTGGGACTTGGAAATAGCGACTAGTTAAAAGGCTATCATGAATTACTGCCATAAAATTCAGGGAAGTTGCGCATACGCTGTCAAGATCAGTAACAAGCTAACGATGTGATTTTTCCTTTGGGGCACAACGTTCTATAGCTAATGTTTCCAAGAAGCATAAATATTTTTGTTTTCTTTTTTTTAAAATAAACGTAGGGAACGCTCTGTTAATTTAATTTCATTTCACCCTAGAGGAACAGTTAAAAATACAAAATGTCAGCAACTATTCAGTATCAAGAATGCTACTTTATTATTTCGGAAAGAACTGCGGCTGCCCATGTAAAGCATTCAAAGCGAGCAATGAACTACAATGAACAAGTACACCAGCTGGTGAGAAGACACCGCTCAGGAAATCACAATTCAAATAAATGAAAAGCTAAAGTTTGACTGTACAATTTTAACTTGTCTTGGTAGTTAACAGTACCGGAATAAACCAGGCAACACTGAATGCTTACTGAACTGGATATAAAACGTTAACGTGTCTGAAACTGCAGAAGAACAGAACAAAGGGAAACTCCAGTCTGTTTTTATTTGTGTGCTTATTTTCCTTCTCCAATCCATGTTTTGCAAAAAATAACGTTGATTATTTGAACAAATTTGAGCTGAGATCATTCCCCTGCAGTGCTCTTTCTTAGAATTGGGGTACATTTTTTAAAACAACTGTTATGTTTTATATACATATAATATAGGTTGCTTTATAAAAAGGTTCCTCGCTTGCTTTTTTCCTAAACAAGTTCAGATACAGAGAGCAGTCCCTTGATGAAAGCAGTTGAACTATTTTTGGAACAAGATGCATTTCACCATAATCTCTAAGCTTTAAATAAAATAATAGCAATTTCTCTTAAATGGATGTTACCAGGTCAGCTGAGGCTCTGAATCAGTACGTGGTTTAAGTACAAGCCTAATAAATTTAAGCACATGCCTATCTCTGCACGTTTGCAAGGACCTAGATTGGGACTGTTACCCAATATCTTATCTGAAGAAACGTGCCCTGCTCTATCACAGGCTTGATCCCCATATTGCACCTCTAAGTAATATAGTTTTAAATTCTTTTTCTCTCTTTAAAATGCTTTAATAGAAGCGGGGATGACAGATGCCTTTGCCAATCTGTCAAAACCAGGAGGAATTTTTCAACTGTTTCAACTACGCCTTATTTGCTGCTTAGACTATCTCTGACCGTTTCCTCCGTTCCAAAAGTTTGTTGAGTGACATTCTCACTTCCCTTGGCTGGCAGAAGTTGTTGTCTAATCATTTATGCTTCTCCCCTTCTTAGATTGTCCTCACAAGATTTGCAGATAGAGCCTTAATCTTCTCATACTATCAGCAGTAGAAAATAAGAAGTCATTAGAGAACAAGACTGATTTCTTTCTTAGCTCCAATTCTCTTATTGCCTCTCCTAGCCACATAATCTGGGATTGTCTTAAAACCTGTAGGGAGGATGGGTTTATTGTGTTTGTGATCAAAGAGACTAGAGAAATTTAGAAGTTTTAAAGGAAGAGATTAAAGGCCACGAAAAGAAGCATAAGGCTCCCAATCTGTGCAACTGTATTTGCAAATGTGCAGAAAATGAATGGTGAGAACAATCTGTATCCTTAAGATGATGATGTAGAAAGGCAGAATATTAAATATTATATTGGAAAGAACTGGACAGGCTTTACATTTGGAAGCCAAGTAATTAACTGAGATTGAAATACACAATCAAATGGAAAACAAAGAGTAACAGTCAGGCTGAAGTGTCCTTTTTGCTGTGGGTTTAGGGTTTTTTTTTTGGGGGTGTGTGACAGCTTTTCTACAACAGACAAACATTTATACACTAAGAGGAATGAAAACTCATCATTATTTAGACAAAAAGTGGAAGAAAGGTTTTAATTGTGTCATCTTCACAATCGTCAATAGTTTCTTTTGGGGAAAATTTTCAAAAAAAGCCTGGCAGATGATTCTAGTACCTCAGGAAAGAAAGTTCATACGGGACACTGCAGAAATATAAGTGCTGGTGTATTTAAATTTCCTTCCTTTGTTTTCCTCAAGGCCTACAATGACGTGTCCTAGCACATACTTTGCTGGTAACTTCTCTTTTCCTTGGAGCCAAAGCCAGAACAGAAAGTCAGGTTATGAAACGATGGTAAGTCAACAACAAATTGAGTATCTTCTATTCTACAAGCTCCTTTCCCATTTTGCTTCTTTTTCTTCTACCTTCAGACTAAGTTGCTGGCTTCAGCCTCATTCAGATGTAGCTAATCCAAAATTTAACCTTTATGGCCAATCACCACAGCTGACCTGGTTTGGATAGAAGTAGTATAAAGCCAGACCCAGCTGAATCCATTGATGACATTCACACTGGCAAACTCCTCGCTCATCTGCACTGCCAGGACTCCGAGGGTCAAATCTCTGCCTGTTTGGCTTGGCTGTGTTCCGTAATACACGATTCACTCTTGTGATGGTTTTTTTTCTATCATCACAAGCAAAGAAGGTATTCGAGGGACTACCAGCTGGAAAGTTGTTCTTCTCTGTCTTTACTGCAAAATGTTTTTTCTACCAGCCTGCGTGGAAGGGGTTTGGGGTCAGAAGGCTGTAATAAGGCAGGTAAATCACATTTTAAACACTAATACGTACAGGACATAAAATTTCCTGTGGAAACAGTTAAATAACAGGTCGACTTAGAAATAAAGTCAAGTTGCTAGAGACGAAAGTGATAAGGCAACCTATATAGAAAATTCAATACTGTAAACAAACAAGTTTGAAAATGGGTGTGGTTTTTTCTGGAAGCTATTTCTTCCATCCCTCGTGAGGCTTTAGGTGAGAGATCTCTATGCTTTTCTTACTTGTTATGTTAGATCCAGATAGTCAGCCATTGCTGAGAAATGCAGCTAGCGCAGAGAAATGAAACAGATAAGAGCTAAAAGGGTTTTTTCCAAAAAAGGAGAGCACTCCTAAATTAATTACAGGCAGGTAATACAGTAGCAAACATGATTATGATCCCATGTGCTAAGTAATCAGGCACCTGTGCCCACCTACAAACTTAAGCCACAATGACTACATTGTTCAATATACAACACGTAAATGTAATTTATTGAGATGAGAATTTCTACTATAAATCAAATTTCCTCTTCTATTAAATCCTTCTTTGAGTCAATATCTATGCCTGAAAGCGTTGTTCTTCCCTCTCTGCCTTCCCGTTTTCCCCACCCTGCCAACAAAGCCAACAGGCATCCCAACAAACTTAAATCTTGACTTTGCAGTAGCTGGACATCACAAGATGACATCTTAGTGGGATAGGTAGGCTATGACGTGAATGGCATGACAAAAATATCTTTAAACATTAGAATTTGAAATTAAATTATATTTATCTCTGCCTTTCTCACTATTATATTGATTCATTGTCACTGAGCTTCAAGAAAATGGAAAAAATACAGTATGCAGCTAGAAGAGCCCCTGAGCTTAGATGCATATATGCAAAGTATATGCTCCTTTTTTAATTCAAATATTAATATTTTAGTGAAGCTTTTGGGTTTTCTCTGCATTTTCTCTCATCCCTGAAATGTAGTCTAACTATGCAACTTGCAGGTATTGAGCAATTTGTATGATGACGAGCGCTTTCTGCGAGTAGAATACATACGTAGCCATCATTTGTAGGACGGTTTAAATCTCTATTTCATAGTATGTGAAAGTTAGAGGTATAACTGCAGCAAGGACTGCAAGAATAAGCTTTTTCTTTTTTTTTTTTTTTCTATTAAAAAAGGGAAAATCCTGCTCAAAACCTTCTCTCCAACTTGAAATTCTAATCTCCTTAGATTGCCATCGTCAGAACTACTGGCTCGTCTCCAATTTATTATTACAGCATCCTTTCGCAGGTTGTGTCATCTGGTCCACTTTAACTCTCGGTTTTCTGAAGGCAAATTTGGCCTGAAATAAAACACCATCTACTCAGAACTTCATCTATGGAGTTTTATTCAGCGTGTAACTTTTCCGTAAGTCATGTTCCAACCTCAGTTACCCCCAAAGTCTGTTAATTTGCTTTTGAGATTTACTGGGGCAAAGATGACAGGAAATGACCAATTTCAACCTGTTCACCGGCTAAAACTATATATGTG